GAATTAGACTTATTTTTTCTTAATTATTTGAAATATTTTATTTTCACTATCTTTGCTGTAAGTACCTGCTTTAACCTGCTGAGATTCCTAGACTTTGTTGTGCGCATTCAAAGAAAACAAAACTGTAATGAAAGGTTTACCAGACTGTATGGGAATACGGCAAGCCTGACTGTAATCATTTTAAACAGAAAATGTTCATCTTTGCCCATATCAACTGTGTCACTAAAAGAAAGGCTGGAAAAACCTACCTAATGCAGACAGTCAGGCTTCTAATTTTAAGGATCCTAAATTCCTGAGAACACTCCTTAGCAAGTCTCACAATGATCAGGCAGGTTCTTACAGGATTCTCCTTCACTACTCCCCAGGTGACAGCTCTGTGGGTGCTGTGTTTTCAAGCAGCCCCAATATTTCTGGTCATATTCTGTTACATCGGGAGGGAATGCATTTTTGCTTTCTATGAACTTCGGAGATCAGCAATGGACTGTGCATTCACAATGCTAAACAACGATTGTCGTGTCCCGTAGTCAGTTCATCCGATTGTTAATTCAGTGGATTTATTAACGACTTACCAGCGAACCATAAGCACCCGGCATTGGTTCTTAAAAGGTGTCCACAGGCATGGAGCAAGTTCCCCATGCCAGTTCAAATCAGATTTTTCAGACAATGTGGACACGGACACGTCCACAAAATACATCTTATTGCAGAGAAAGCCATGTCATCTTACAAGATGAAATATTAAAATGTTAAGGAAATTGCATTTTAGCAAGGAATGGATGAGCTGTTGTCAAAGGCAATATAGTGTGCATATATACGTTTTTTGGCATGTTCTTTTGTAAGAACTGCTATCAAAAAAACATTTAGGTAAGTAGATTTGGCAAAGGCATTGTTTTGTATTTCCTTAGTCCAGGAAGAGCGAGAAACCTTCTCTTAATTTAAACAGGAAGGGAACGGTGGCTCTCTTTTTCTCCTTGGTAAAATCAGCATGGAGGATACAGCACTGCTTAATGTTCTTATTCAGAAAGGTAAAGAAAAGATTCGATTGTCCTACCTAGTTAATGTTACAGGAAAAGGTTGTTTTTTTTTAGTTCCTTATATCCAGTTATTTTTTCTGTTCAGGATTTTTTCCTCTATCCCCTTCTAACAAGAAGTGCAGCTATAGTTTTAGATGTTAATTGCAACATGGGGGCTGCCCTTCTTTAAAATGGGAAATAGAAGTTTACTAATACTATTATGTTACACTGTAAAGCAAAGTTTTGGATATAAGATAAAACCGTGGTATTCTGAATCAAATGCTTTTTACTCCAGAGTTTTTGTTTTCTCTCTGAAAGCAGCGTTAAGCTTCACTTTTGCCCACCATTGACTGAACAGCTGTTAATCTTTAATGCATACCTGTTTGCTTAATGTGTTTTCATAAAGCAATGTAGTTGCAGCATCTGTAAAAACAAAGCCAGCAGTGTAAAACAAAAATATTTTCTACTAGTTTAAAAAATTTGTAGCAGTTTTATTTTAAATTCCAAATGTGTTTTACTTAAAGCATTTTACTTGATTTTGCATTGAAAAAGGATGTCTAAATGCTGTTTGTAAGCATCACTTCTTCTGTTTTGTACCTTTTTGAAAAGGAAAACAGGAATACTTAAAACCACACCTATTGTATTGAGCCAAAACAGGTTTGTGTTGATTATAATTTTGACTACTGCTTTGCTGTGTGTCTGTTTGTTTTCTGGAAAACCCACAGAATTTTTGTTTTTATTTTGTGTTCACAAGCAGCAAGGAGCTATGGGCGAAGAAGAGGTAAAGTCAGATTTTTGTGTTCTGCTTGCAAATGTCTGAGGAATCAATAATATTTGAGTGCAGCTCTCAATTATGCAATGTTTGATTGTTTGCTTCTGTTTCATGATAAAATCACAATTAATCATTTTTTTTAATTTTGTATTATGCATTTAATCTCAAATTGGGTATAAATTTGCATTGTGCTCTAACCTATAGCTTGGAATTTTTTGCTTGATTTTAAAAAAAATCAGCTTGCTTTTTCAGTCTTTTTATTGTGAGTCACTCTGCTACATACAGTACAAGAGCAAGGTGTATTCAGTTTTAATCTAATAATCAGTCTTTGTGTCATGAAATGAGAATTAATGGAACAGACAGGCATATAGATTCTAAGCAAGAGTGGGCAACCACTGTCCTGAAGAATACGTGGAGATTCATTGCATAAATTGGACACTTTCTTGCCATGCACATAGTTTTTTTTTATAGAAATATAATGACTGACCACAGCTGAAGTATACTATACTTGAGTGGTTGAACATAAAGTGAAAACCACAGCTAATAGCAGCAATCGTCTGGATGTCAAAAATGTTCCTAAGCAGTGTCAGAACGGCTATAGACTGAGTACTAAACTTTTGAAAGAATTCTCACATCAGTTACCTCGCCAGTATTCATTGTGCCTACACACTGCATTCAAGATGGATGTGAAATAACGTTGTTATTCAAGTTCCAAAATACACTGTGCAGGGACCCTGCGGTTACATACCACTCAACATGGGCGAGTTCGACTTAACGTTAACCATTGTTAATTAGGTATTGTGGAAATAATTTATTGTTTCTTTCATTTTATTTCAAAACACCATGTATTAATTATATTACAATGTCTGCACGTGACCCAAGTAGTGCAAAGGATAGGAACCTAACCCACCAACATATAAATAGTAAATTGTATATATTTATATGGCTCAAGAGTGCAGTCTGGCTTACGTAAAATTGGACTTACGGGAATGGTTTCCAGAACCAAACTATTGCAGAAGTCGTGGTCTGTCTTTCAGTTCTGCCAAGTACATGGATTGTTAACTCGGCCGCCTGTGTAAACAAGTGCAACTGTCTGTGTCTGTGCAAGCAGTGATGAGCAGGATCTGCAACAAGCGAATTGACTGACTAATAAACTTACAGAAGGGCGGAGATTCTTCCTCTCGTAATTCTTTTTATCAAGTTGAAGTATAGACTACTTTAATCTCTATCATTTGACTGTCATATTGGTTTGTTATTAATCGTCTGAAGCAACAGTGAATAAATATTAGCTGTACCCAAGAAGGTGCTGCTTTTTAATCACTGAAGAACTAAAAGGTATTAGAAGTTAAACCAAAGAGAAAGTCATTTCTTGGTTGGTACTATTGTTTTTTCCCTATTCTGGAGATGAGAAGGATTTTGCGTGTGTTCACAGTAGCTTTCTCCCAGAGGAGCAAGTTATTTTTGTTTTCCAAACAAATCTAACAGACCCTGATCTAAGGACTGCATGTTTAACAAGGAGCCTTTCTGTTGTGATTTCTGAATGCAGTGCTGGAGAGCTAATTCAAACATGGTGCTCTGCAGTGCCGATATTGTACAGTACAGGTATCTTTTACGTATGCAACAACTCAATTAAGATCAGTAGGGAGGTTTCCTCCCAAAACTTTTGACTGGCAGAATATTGAAAAATATACTTTTCATCACTTCAGAGAGGATCATTAACTGAATGTTTGGACTTGACATGTGTTAATAAAAAAAGTATTTTAGATTGTATTGTCTGCAAAGCCTTTTTCCAATGTCTTGGCTGACAGTCTTCTCTGACTGCTTCCCTCTGCCTTTCCTCATCATTTCCACTTCACTCTTTACAAAACCATATAATTGGCAAAGGATTTTAATTCCAAACTGCTTACCTGAAAACCCTTAAAAGACAGACCAGCCACTGTCAATTGTAGGAGCATCATTCAAATGGTACTCTGCCTTACCGCAAGTATCCTATTTTAATCTATAACTTTCCTGAATATTGAAAATGTTTCTGATTCCTGCCTTCTGACTGGTAAGCTGTAGTGTGAGACAGTCTCTGATAACAAAGTGTTACTCCTGCGTAATGGGTAATGAGCCATTTAGTCCTGTAACCTGATTCCCTTAAAAATTATGCTCTTTCTCTTTGGCTTCATTTGTGTAAATATTTGATTTACTTCTAATTTGCTACTAAGTTGAATGTTTGACTTTTTAAAGGTTTTCTAAGCAGAACCACCAGCAGTGACGTCCATAGCCAGATTAGTAACTCTACAATTAAAACAGAATTCTTAGTAATCAGAAAAATGTAATACAATATGTTTCTTAGTATTTCAATTTATGTAGTATGTAAACATTTAAGTCCTGGCATGGGTCTTGCAGTAGGTACTTTAAATCTAAGATGGCATGTGTTTGGCCTTTTGAAACATGACTTAAATGCCTTTGGTGTTATTAACTAATTGAGCTGAAGTTTAAATTGAGATTTGTGCTCTTGTTTTTTTATTCATCTTGATGCACTAACTCAAAAAATATACCATATGTAATGCTGTCTTTTATTCACTTTAAGTAGGACAGGAAGCACTGGATATAAATGCTAGAAAGTGTTTAAGACAGAAGAATATCTATTTTTTTACTTATACCCTTAGCTATTTACCTGCATTTTCACAATTGAAATCTGAATGTGAATATACATCTTATAAATGTGGGTGATCACAAGTATGTTTGTGTCTTTTAGAGCTAGGAGGAGTCTTGTCAACATTTCCATCATTTCTTTTCGCACGCTTTACAGAGATCAAAGTATCAACAGGCCAAGCCTCTTATGGAAACAACACAGCATACATTGAGTTTGATAGCGTTGTCACAGTTCAACTGTTGCAGAAAGGTTTATATTGCAGTCCACTATAAGAGTAACCTTTCATCAGACAGCATTTTTTTGACCCAAGGCAGTGTCAATATGTAATCTTCAGACACTGTGTGAGGTTATGGATGCACTTGAACTTTTGAAAATGAATGGTACAGTTTGTTTCCATTTTATTCTAGCACTAACTTCATAATTTTGATGCTTTCCGAGAAGATAACTTGTAGAAGAGGAAAAGAGGGATTTCTCCTTTTACATTAGGTTTTTTCATTTGTTTCCATTGGTAAACATTTGTGGTCATCTTTCTGTCCAATGACATACGGACATATTTTTCTTTGAGTGATGAACACATTCTGCCTTGTTTGATTACAACTATATTCGAATACTCTATTCCCCCTCTGCTCCCCTCCTCCTTTTCTCTCTGTTTCTAGGTCGTTCTTCACTCTTTCCTTTCGAAGACGGTTTCCTAGACGACGGCCACGGTGACCAGTCCTTAACGCCTGGCCTGGGCTCCCCAACACGCTGCCAGAATGGAGAGAGGGTGGAGCGTTATTCCAGAAAAGTCTTTGTTGGAGGGCTGCCTCCTGACATTGATGAAGGTACTTGAGACTTTTGTCAACACGGAAGAACAAAATCAGAATCATTTGATGGTAAAGGATAAGTGGAATGCCCAAGTTCAATAAGAGAAACATTTCATACCATAGTGTATTTTTGTTGCATTTATATTTTGTGAGACTGCGTAAGATTTAGATGTTTAAAGAGCTAAATTGTAACTTCTATAAGAGTCAAAGAAAATCTTTTCACATAATGGCAGATGTATCTCAATTGAGATTCTAAATTTTGGAAGTTTCTTTGCCAAAGAGTAGTATAGTGAGACTTGATTAGCCTACAGTGCCCATTATTCTGTCCCATGAAGCTCTAATTGATAGCAGAATAAAAGCAAGTTGGTTTTCCTGAGTAGCAAAAGCCTTCAGATTTGTTGATTTAAAACATAAATAACAGTTTTGGCTTTTGTTGTACCAAGACTTTTTAAGGGCACTGTATCTCTTAGGTGAAAAAATTGCAAGTTAACTTCTATATAAAGTAAAAATCTCCTTACTCTTAACCTGACCTACCTAAAGTGGGCCACCTCCTCTGGGCCTGGAGGATTTTAGTATGCTGGTGTATATTTTTTACACTGAACTCTGACACAAGACAGAAAGAACTGTTAGGTGACAGACAGTCAGCTGAGTGGCTTATAGTTGCCAATCATGTCACGTAATGTCAATCACTTTTAATTCCCGAATTGGAGGGGGTTATTTTTTTAATGGTCTCATAATGGTGTTTGTACTTAATAAACTACAGTTTTACATCCTTTGGCAGTATCTTACTTAATTGTACTTACTGTACAGAATTAGTTATTGTCTTGACTAGTGTGCTTTGATAGATTTTATATGTGAACATAACTGCCAAGTAGAGGGAACACACAAAAACATGTTTTGATAATATTGCTGTAATTCTGTCACTGGTTTTCTCTAGATGAAATCACCACAAGCTTTCGTCGTTATGGGCATCTCGTTGTGGATTGGCCACACAAGGCAGAGAGCAAGTCCTATTTTCCACCCAAAGGTAATTACTTCATTGTGGAAGACATCTTTCATGAATTCAGGTCTTTAGTGAGCTCTGTACTGTTACAATTCAAAGAACAGTGTTTTAAAACTGTAAAGATATAAGAAGTTGGTTGATGGAAAAGTTTTGTTGATTGTAATTAAATCCAGGTTCTTCTTCCCTTAAACTGTTGATATCCAAATGTATTGATTTCGAAAATACTGTCAGTTTTAATTTGGCTTACATTTCTGCTGTTATAATGATTCTTGTCCCATAAAACCAAAGTATTTTATTCTTTTTTAGTCATTGACTGAATAAATGGGATATCTTTGACAGATTTAAGCTAGATGTGGTTAAAAATTGCTTAGTACCTGTTTCCATTAACAGTCCCTTTGACTAGAAAAACATATTGTAATTTACCACATTCACGTTAAAAGCACATTTGAAAAGGCGTTTTAAAGCAGTTAAGGTATCTTGCTCCTGTAGTGAAAGCTGCTACTGTAAACCAGTAAGAATGTTGCCATGCCCTTTTGTTAATCCAAAGACAAGCAAGCATTCCATATCATCTGTAGAAGCAAGAGAAGTTAAAATCTATTCCATACGCAAAAAGTTAAATGTTTAGCAGGAGATTCCTGATGATTTTTTGTGGGTTATTTTCTTAACTTAAAAACCTTTATGAGTCACTGGAAAACCTTAAACCCTGGCTACTTTAAATCCTGCCCTGGTTTGGAGGAAAGTTTAATTTGGACAGTTGTTCATTGCAGAAAAGCACTTTACAGTTATTTTGGCTAGCTCCAAAAGCAATATGTCATATTAGGAAAAACTATTAAAGCAGTACTGGAAATAACAGAAATTCCTATAGCAGACTGGTGAAGTGTACATCTAGTAAAAATACCTACCACTTATTTTAAATGGATCATTACTGATCCAAACCTTAGGAATGGCTTGTTGTGTCTTTTTGCTGAGATGACTCATATTGCAATTAACACTTTTCTAGAAGAAAAACTCAAAAGTGAGCTGTAGTACGTAATTCTGTTTACGAGCCCGCCACACTTGAATCCTGATTTGCAGTTTTTATTGCCACGTGCACTGGGATTTTAAGGCAACCTTCCTGACTTTTAACTGAGCCTTTACTTAAAAATAGAAAAGATCATTTTCAAATTGAAATTCCTTATAAGATAGTATAGTACTAGGGATTTAAGAGTTGTGTGAATTATGCTTATCAACCAATCATTTATTAATCCATGAAAGGAGCGATGTTACTGGCACATTACTTTTTGAATGCATTATTCCTCTGTATTTTTATGGTTCTTGTGCAAGATAAAATGTTCCACTAAGTCTTTTCTTGGGCTTAAGTGGTCTGGAGTGTTTTGGTTTGTTTAATTTCTATACCCTGATTACTGAGTATGATTGATGAAAGATCAGACAGTCCTTCATCTTTAATTTTCCCTGAAAAGGCATTGTAATATTTTTGTATTGTTTGTCTGCCCTATTTGGAGAGACCTTATCCTGGGCACCAGCTGATTCATGCGTTAATGCCAATACAGGAGATCTGGGTATACACCAGGGTTTTGATTCTATTTCAGTAATGACAGAGCAGTGCATCAAGCCCCTTTCTATTTTAGTCTTGTCAGTGATAAAGGAAATGGTTTTCACGTCACCCATCAGTTGCCTTCGTTGCTAATTTGAACTACCGAAAGCATCAACAGCAAGTCCCAAATGTTCCAAGCTATTTTTATTTCACAGAGGAGGTTATGTCTCTTGAATTGAAGTTCATGATTTTAGAGGATTCAGACACGCTTGTTGGCTGGTTAAAAACCATTGATGAAAAGTTTAAAGTAGACAATTTAACTTGCAGGCTACGTATTGAATATTCCTTTGTATCATTGTATGTTGATCACAGGACAAGAAAATGTTCCACAGTCTTGTCATGAATTTAAGTGGTCAAAATCCTTCAGTCTCCTGGTTTCTGTTCAATTGCTGTATCCTAGGTGCAGAATAGGTATACGGTCATCTAGTCTAAACAACCCTATATCTGTATATTCTATAATACATTCTAAAATGTAATATATATAATGTATATAAAGGCAAGACTTCAGTAAGCTAGGTCAAAAATATTTCTGGATTTTTATTGCAGTTATTAAACGCATTTAGAGATCAAGGGGCTTCCTTCATTGTGATGCTCAGCTTTGCAGAATTGCTGGTTTTGGCAGTTTCCTGTAAATGGGTTTCAGTCATGATTCACATTGCACGCTGCCGTGACCAGGTCTTGTGTTCATTCTTCAGGGCAGAGCATTGTTGTATCGGGCTGGAGGCAGAATGGCAAAGCTGCATGGAGCCTATTTCCACACATGCCTTGTGATTGCATTACGTTTTCCCTCTGACAGATGGCCTTCTTGCAATGTCAGTACCATTCCTTAACGAGCACTTCTCAGAACGGGCATCTGCCTGCTTATTTTGAGAGAATTCCTAAGCAATGCTGATTTCAACTGCCGGAGCAATTAATGCAGAATGAAATTTGTTTATCGTAGATAATTATGACTCCAGAGATTTCTGTGCTGTTCATATTCTGTATTTTCATGCAGTAAAGTCTGGCTATGGTGTCTTTATATCTAGGAGGAGTTAACCTTTCTCTCTTTTCTATATTGTTCTATTTCATGAATTTTGCAAGGGGTATAGTAGTATAAATAGCTGTGTTGTAATTAATTGTGTAATGGATTTGTCATTCAGTTTAATCGAAACTTTCAATTTATATTTTTGTGTGGAACGATTCATTGGAAGCGTCATATCTGTTGGAGATGTGTCCTGTTCTCAACGGAATTAGTGCTAAAAAAAAGACAGACTGGCTACAGTCTCAGGTTCATCCGCTTTCTCAATATAACAAGATCTTTTTTCGAAGTGCTCTGAATCGCCTGGGTTTCATGAGCAATTAAATTTCGAAGTCGTGAAATGGCCTGGAGTCCAGGTGCCAAGGCTGACCAGCTCTTACCTTTTCAGTTTTCCATAGGCCAATCCATCATATAGCAAGTAAGGCTCAGCAGCATTACTAAATTTCCAGTGTCAGGCTGAGGATTCTTCAGATGACTAGCATTCTTCTGACAGCTGCTTAATCTGATAGGCAGATGCCTGAAGGGATCTTGAGACTTTAGGTTCATGTGATAATGTGTAACAGAGAGCAGTGGCTCTTCGTTTTGAAGGATTAGTACTGGTTTTGGTGTACAGATTGGAGATCAGGAAAGCCATAAGGTTAAAGGATCTCTGGGGAAAGCTTAGGGAAACAGGGGAATCTGCATGTTACTGAGAACATTATAACTACCACTACTGTATTACAAAAGACTCAGATGGTTTAGCAATTTGCGCCGTAACCGTTTTGGCTTGATCTGGATGAAGTGAACTTTTCTGGCATTTCACTGTATACTTAAAATGTAGCTATTTCTTAATATGTGAAAGCAGATGCTTTTCTTAATTCCAGCAAGTTTCATGTGCTGTCTGTGGTGATTATAGAGACACCTGCTGAGATCTTAACTGCAATAACTACAGTTTTTGTTTTACATTATCTGTTTTACATTGTAGGATGTAGAAAATGATTGTGAAGGGTGACATTGGTTAAGGGTCCAGAAGGATCCTGACCATGTCAAGGGTTAAATAAATATTACAGGTCTAACAGGAAAAAAATTGCAATTAAAATTGCTATTAAATAACTGATAATGTTTATAAATTCTGAAAGGCTTGCTTATGCTTTAAAAAGTTTTTTCTACTGCTTTTATGAAATGTTAGCTGTTCTGAAAAGAAACTGATGGATCACAAGCTAGCAATGTTCAGAATGTAATTTGTAAAATAAATAAAATACAGAGAGCTTTCTCCATATTTACATGGGTGTTGTTTCTCATGTCAGTGTTCAATATCTATTTTAAACAAGGCCTGTGCCTAAATGACTTACACAGTAGTGATCAGTCCCACATGCATAGAGCTTTAACTCAAGTTGTCACACTTGTCTTATTCAGCTTTGTACATTACTGTCTTGAGTAATCATGGAAAATGGATGTATTCTATCCCACAAAGCAAAGCAATGGCCATACTGTATATTAGCCAATATTGTAGTAAATGCTGCTTCTTGGTTAAAGAGCCACGTGTATTTAAGACACACTGAAGATACTGACGATTGATCTTTTATCCCATTTGTTGCATTTGGTTTTCAGCAACACTCTGAAAAAATGTTTGGCTGTCTGGGAATTTATCCAAGTTTAATTTTGGAATCTAAGATTATTTCCAGACTCCTGTGTTTACAGTATGTATCTAACGATTCTATCAACACAAGAGATGGACCATTTTAAAAGTCTAGATTTTGAAACATTAGTCAATGAACATTCTGCTCATATCATGCAGCCTTAGTAATAGATGTGAAGCACCATTATGCAGTAATGGGTAGACAGCTGGTGTCTCACTAAATGTGCAGATCACATGCTTTGGCTAAGATGAACCGTCAGCAGCTGACAAAGTTCAAGTAAGTAAGGCTCTTGTTTTCAAGAAAATAGTGCAGTTATTGTATTACTAAATTCCTGTTGCACTTTCTGTTGAATGTTTATCTTTAAAGATTTAAAACCTAGAAATTACAGTAGTTCAAGTAAATACTGTAGCTGCGTCAGCATGCGTTGGCTGCAAAGTAAAAAGGTAAAGGTTTATTCCATGCTGAAAGGAAAAGAGACAACGTTTTGGCTGGAGTCTTCTTCAGGTGTGAGGTCAAACTGAAATCTGCTAGATTTTTTTTTCTCACAAAGAGGAAAATGAAAAAGGAGCAATGGAGTTGCTTATGAATGAATTAAACATGAGAGATAAAATTGAGATATGAATTGGACTCGATAATATTCTTTAATTAGGAAGTGGAATTTGTGATATGTATTGAATTTAGGAACGAAGTTGTTCTGTTAAACGTTTCAGCATTTTTATACAAATCCCTGTCTTTCAGAGTGTCTTGTTTTGCTCAAAGGTAAGGTATAGGGTTTTCAACTGAAGCATTGTCTTTATTCCTCAGTGGATCCAAAGGAAACAAGCAAAGCTCCTTTACTGCTCTTTTGAGTGAACAGCACACCACATACTCTTTTAAAAAGACTGGAACTGTTGCAGTTAGTTTTGACTTGCCATGTTTTTCTATATCCTATCTATTTTGCTGTCAGAAGGCAATCAAAGAATACAAAAAAGTTGAATGTGCATTAAAACTATTTTATTCTAAAATTACATTTTTTTACTAAGACAGAACAGTTTTATCTGTTTTATGTGTGACTTATGATATAGAAGCATCAGAGCTCATGAAAATATTAAAAGTAATGTTGCAAAATATTTCCAAATACAGGAGTATACTAGTTAAAGCTCTTCTACATTTTAAGAGGATGAAATGTTACAAGATAATCTATTTTTGAGCTGGGGTCTCTTCTGCTACTCTCAGTATTTGAAAGAATTACTACTATATATTAGCTCATAATGCAGTAACAAAGAATAGAAAGGATCTAATGAAGGTTCATCTTCCTCTGCAGTTGAAAAGCATGTTTTGTCTGGCTATGCAGAGAAAAGTTATATTGTGTGGATGCAGAGAATGTAAACTCTGCCAGCACTTCAGGTTTCTGTGGAAAAGAAATTCTGTAATTTGTGCCAAAGATCACAGTAGTCCTATTTCTCTGCCTTATCCCAAGGCCCTTGTTCATTTTGCTGTCTGATCTTAAATTAGGAAGAGGATTTGGCAAGGTGTGAAAAGTCAAAAGTTTCTATCCTTTCTGCATATGTGGAGCATAAAAAGGGACTGAAGTGCTTTAGAAATTGAAATGTCTTTCCAAGGAAAATATTATTGTCAGTCTCCCAGACGTCTCAGCCATGCTTTCAGATATCCTCATGGCTCTGATACTGGCTTGATGTTTCTTGCAATAGAGCTGTATCCTTAGGAAAAGTTTCTGCTAGTCCTTCAAACACTAAAAGTGTCCTTGCATCTATATTTCGTACTTACTGCCAAGGAATGTCACAACAAGAAGTGTTTAATTCTAAATGATTTGTGTAGATAATCTCAAATGCCAAATGCTTCTTTCTTCAGTAGAAAAGATCCATTAGTTTGTCCTGTTTAGTGCATCCTGTATGGTATTTGTACTTGGCAGGGAGAAATCCTTGTAAGTCATTTCTGTTCCTTCCAATTATGTGCTTTGCTGTACCCTATTGGACTGTGGTTGTGTAAGGTTTTTATTACCAAGCCACAGATGAGTAACAACATTTCTTTTGGAATTGGAACTTTTCCAGTTATCACAAGGAAAAGCGTAATTTATTTAAAAGCCTGAAGGGTACACCAAGTGATTAGAAAAGAAATGATGTTGGCAGGTTGTGAAGGGTTTTTAATTCTGTAAATGAGAAGACTTGCTTAAGTAAACATGAAGTGTTTTCTGTTTTTTTTTTAGCCTTCAGATCAAATTGTGTTTGCGCAGTACAGTAGTTTTCCAATCTGCGACCTCTTCGCTTTTATTTTTCGTCCGCCAGCATAGAATTCTGGTAATGTAGTTGGGGTTATGAACTCTTGGTTTACAGAAGTCTAGCACAGGCTTTTACTGCAAAACTATTCTTGCACGACTAATGACAATCCTTTTTCTCCCCATCATAAGCCTTGCGTCAGATCTGAAATGTGGTCTTTGTTTGTATTTCCAGCTCATAGTGGCTGCATGTCTCCCACTTCATTGCACAGACACAATAACAAGATGTTTGTGTCTTGCTGGTTTGAATACTCTTATACAACACAAATTCTCTGACCAAGCTGAATTCAGCCATGGCAGTCTGTTTGAAGGATCCCCTTCCCTTTCGCTATCAATAGTTGTCAGTTTCTATAAATGTATATCTTCATCCCTGCAGTATAATTTAAACGTTACTTGTGAATAGTATAAGCTGTGTTTCAGAAGCTGAGATTTTCAATTAATTTATTTTGGTTTTGATACATCTGATCTATATTACAAGAAGATGTATATAGTTCTTTAACTATCTTGCCATACTATTATTTCCTTAACTCAGTCAGAATGTAACATGGATTATCGACATCTTCCATCGTAAAAACCAGTGTGAAATATTCATTTAGAATGTTTACTATGTATTATTGATTTCCTGTTTTTTGTAAACTTTGACCTGCTTTTACTGTTGTAGAACTGAAAATATGTTTGGTTTTATTTATGCCCGTGTTGTTGTTATCCTTTCTGATTAATTGTCCCTGGTTTGATGAGGAAATTGAGACTTTGTGGCCAAAGCTCTGTCATAGTGGAATCCAGGACCTTGGATTTTTATGCAGAAAGACTTTGATTCTGATTTGTTTTGCCGCAACACTGATCAAATCACAGGTCAAAGTCTGGAAGAGCAAAACATCCCTGCCCTTTGAAAGAGGACACTTCATCCAGTCATATGCTGCTGCTGATAATGTCAGGTCTGTCTGAAGCCTGAGTCCATCATACCCTTCATGGTATCTGTATCTTCTGGGGCAGCTCGCTGTACCAGCAGCTAAAGGAATTCAGGGTTAGTTACTCTGCTGAGACCAGGCATGAAGGCTGTCAATATGTGATCCACTTCTTTCCGCTTCAATATGATTTGTACAAGAAACTGTTCTCTATTCCATAGGTCCCCAAAAATAAATTTAACCTACCGTGACTAAATACTGAATGTTGTGATGCCTGATGAGAAAACATCATTTAGTGTCTTTTGTAAACAAGAGGAAAGGGAAATGATGTTCTCAATTTTGATGCTAACCTGAAACAAGTGAACGTGATCACATCTGAAATGCTTATTTTCCAAAAGTCCGAAAGCATTTCTTAAGGTGCAAGCACAGCCAGTAATGTTGTGAATTCAAACCAGCATTCAGAAGTGTTCGTTTCGCGGGCAGGAAAACTAGTTTGCACAGATGAAGTCTGGAGCTCTTGAGTGTGCTGATTAGCACCCAAGCGGAACCCTGCTTGTCTGGCTTCATAACTTCTGAGCCTGTTGAAGAATTCCGTGTCTGTGGAGCTGTGCCTTCTGATAATGCCCCGGTGCCCTTCACTTCCTCTCTTCTTCCTGGAGCTACGGGCACACGACATTCGACACAGCTCAGACATTCATTCGGAGCGACGGCCCGAAGCCAAGAAAAAAAGCCCATCTGAGAATTGCCCAGCAGGCAGGACAAATCGGCACGCTTTAATAATGAAGGAGCACCAGCCTGCTCTCACAGTGTTAGAAGCCGCAATTCACAGTACGAGAGAGTGCAGGTGATTGTTGTCTGTTGGAATGCAGAGTGTTGCTGAGCCACGGCGTATCCAGTGTTGTTATAACCCGTGTTTAGGGGTATTCGGGAGCAGTAACCAGGTGGTGTCTTAAGGCCCTGCTTGAACTAATTTAATGTAGAACTTCATCACTGCTGAAGAAAAAATGTTCTGTCCAAATATTTTGCTATAAAGAGTTTTTTATTTATTTAGAGGACCCTGAAGATGTACTTCAAAATTCTATGTAGATGCTATTGTTATGGTTGACCTTATTTCTTTAATACCAGTTACTTGCAATAACATACTACCTTTTATCCTAAAGCTCTTTACATAAAGGCGAGGAGCCATTTCATTCACCACACAAGTGCAGCACCCACCTGGGTGTCATGTGGCATCCATTATGCTCAACAGCCTCACTCATGGCAGATCAGATGAAGAAGTGAGAAATGACTTCACTATATTAGTGGTGCATTTGAGCAATTTTATTATTCTTTGGCATGTTTAACTCCCTGCTACTGAGTAAAAAAAGTATCTACATGTGTTGCCTTATGGAGCTGTTTAGTTTCCTAAGATAGTGTCAGTCATGTAGTGGCTGAGTCATAAATACTGGTTTTTAGATCAGACGCAGCCATTTACCTCCAACGTACTTGAAGTGAATCTAAATTACTAGACATTGTCTTCTGTCTCAGTCAGTGGACAGGTGACTAGCAGCCTTTTCCCATGTTCTATATAGAGAGAGAATGCTAAAGCACCTCTTACAACCATTATCCTCTAAATAGTTTTGTGTCTGTAATTTATAAATCTTTATCCATGCAGCATTTGCCCCTGAACTGATATGTCTTAAGTAGTGGGAATGAGATGTGAGCTTGTTGACTGACTTGCACATCTTGCTTGTCAGAGCAGGTTCGTTTAAAAATAAAGGAAAATGAAGGCTGTCGGTTCAGATTTGCCTGTCTAGGACAAAAGGATTATCTCTGTTCTCATTATAGCTAGCATTGTTGGCTGTTGGGAAAGCATTCTTTGTAAGGTCATCCCTGCATAGCTTCTGGTTATTTTGATAATGAATACACTGGAGAGTAGAGCAACCTACTGTATGTAGAATTTTACAGCTGAAAACATCGTAAAATTCCTGAGAGTGCTACGTGTTCAGCTTCTATCCTCTCCCGATGCAGGTTAAGGGTGGTGATTTAATGGCAGCTATAGACATTAATGATGCTATCCTACTGCAATGGCTTTCTTTTGTATTGCCATAACCAAGCAGGCATCTACAATTTGGTGTGAACCATTTAATGTATGCATTACCTTCTCGGAGACTGATACCCTTGGAATTTTGTTTTTGTCATTATAGAAACAGGGTAAGATAATCAGATACATTATTGCCAAGTATTCCCTTTTAAATGGGTGTTATGTTTTTTTTTTCCTGTCCACTCTCCACAGGGTATGCCTTTCTGCTGTTCCAGGAAGAGAGTTCTGTACAGGCTCTAATAGATGCCTGTATTGAGGAGGATGGAAAGCTCTACCTTTGTGTTTCCAGCCCCACCATCAAAGATAAACCAGTAAGTCGCCACTGTCTCTACAGAAGTTCACACGTCCAGCAGAAGCCCTCTCCAGAGTGAACAGAGTGGCACAATTAACATATCTAGTGTTTGCCTGTCACCACAGTGATCCCTTGAGAGGTCTGTGCCAGTCTGTGGACTAGGACTGGGAAGCTTTGAACAAAATGACAAACCATTCAGTTAATCTTTTTGTGCCTCATGCTTTCATTTCTCTGATCAAATACAGTCAACTTGACATTTCCCATAAATGATAGTCTGCCTCCTTTCAGTATTCAAATCAAATATAATAATCATTTTTAATAATAACATTAATTTATGACCCTAGATGTCATTTTGTGCTAATAAAAGGGGATGACAAAGCCACAAAACTGCTTAATCATCTTATCTTTTAACAGGTGGAGCTTTTTGAAGTCTGCCTTTATTTTCGTAAAAAAAGTTCTAAAAGTTCACATAATTTGAAGAATAATGATGTTAGAACAAAATGTTTGTGTTTTAGATAGAACAGAGTTTACAGTTATTTTAAATAATTTAAAATATTTTAAAATTGCTTTTAATTACAGATAAATACAACAAACTGGCTGTGCAATGGTATTTTTTTTTTTTATAATTGGCACCCAAATTGAGTAGCATAAGAATTTTAAGTTTGAGCGCGTAAGAAAGGTGGTAAAGTGTCGCTGGTTTGCGGTGTTGTTAGCTAACTGCTGATCAGATCTTATCCAGCCATGTCAAAAGCCAATAATGATGTGGCTGGATAGCTTGTTACAGTCTCCCTTAGCCCTTTGTGTAAAGTAGCGCCTTATGTGCACAGTCTGTTGTTGGTATAGCTGTTCGAGAGACTCAAAATACAGTTGCAGCCTCCATCAATGGTGCTTTATACCTGTCCAGGTGCAAATCCGGCCTTGGAACCTGAGTGATAGTGACTTTGTGATGGATGGCTCCCAGCCCCTCGACCCCCGGAAGACCATCTTTGTGGGAGGAGTTCCACGGCCCCTTAGAGCAGGTGAAGGGGGGAGAAGCAGTGAAAGGGTGTGTTAACACTGGGGATGAACAAGTGGGGAAAGAACCAAGGACAGGTTCAGGAAAACATAGTGAGCCGAGTACCAGCCAATTCATGGGTTCGTACACTGGAGAAGAAATGAGGACATGACATTCTTTTTCCTGAAATGAATGTTAAAACTCAGAGTCTGAATTCAGATATCATAGAGATATGCTTTTACATGATGCTAGCTGCTACAGTCTGCACTTTTTAGTGCTTCTGGAATTATGAATGGCTTGAAGCTGATCTTTTTTTTTGTGGGGTGAATGGAAAGCAAGTTGGTGGCAGCTGTTTTATTCTTTGTTTATACCACAAAACCTGAAAAATAAGATGGGATTTTAAAATTTATTATTTTCTAAAAAACAGACCAAGAACAATTCTTTTCACATTTTTTTTTGTTTCTCTTATATGGCAAGGTTATCTTTAATGAAAAATTTAATTTTCTTTTTATCTCTTCAAATGGTGTGGGTAACTTTATGGTTTAGGAAGATTGTGAAAGAGTTTTGTTCTTTTAATATAATACGTCAAGGATAAAGAATTGCTGCACCTACACTTTAACACAAAAAATGCTTTGTGAGCAGGGATGAGTCATGTCCCTGACGCTCAGACTCTGCTTTGTTGTAATTGATTTTAACTGATGTAGGATAGCTGAGTTCTGTTAAAGTTTTATGTTTTTTATTTATTTATACCCCTCTAATGAATTCAACTAATCCTCAATCGTGACATCTCCAGTGCCAGCGTGTGTGTGACAGATGGCATCATGGATACAAGACACTCTCACCCTTCCGCCACGTTCTTACTTTCTTATTCATGTTTTCAGCCTCTTAATGTGATCGCTGCTCTGCTGCCCCTACTGAAATTAAATAAAACACCCGTCCAAAAGTTGAACAAAATGAAACTGGTTTATCAACACCCCTACCTCCCTTGACATATTCCCAGAACAGAAATGTGGAAACATTTTCCAGGCACTTTTCTTAGGCCCACTGTTCCGACTTGAGTTTTTGAGAAGTGAGCAGCTCGCCTCATGTCGCGCTCCTCTGTCCCGCAGTTGAACTCGCCATGATTATGGACCGGCTGTACGGTGGCGTCTGCTACGCTGGCATCGACACTGACCCCGAGCTCAAGTACCCCAAAGGGGCAGGGAGGGTGGCTTTCTCCAATCAGCAGAGCTACATTGCTGCTATCAGCGCCCGCTTCGTCCAGCTGCAGCACAATGACATCGACAAGCGGGTGAGTGGAGCTCCCGAGTGGGAGAAAGAGCCCCGCCAATCAAACCAGGGGCCAGAGGCTGCAGCCTCTTGTCTGGAGAGAGAGAGCGGCATTACCTGGTCATTGGCCAGAGGGAACGGGCTTCAGGCAAGGCTAGAAAATGTTGTGAACTCCCTTGTGCGATATCGAATTATTTCAGACAGCCCACATGCTATAAAGTCTGAGAGAATGAAAGGTTGTTTTTATGCCTTATTCTCTGAAAACCTTTACCAGAATTAAAAATAATGCAAAATAATGTTCAGGGATAGTAGTAATTCAACAGGAAAAATGGTGAACACGGGCTACAGTCTTAAACATTATCTTTAAATTGTTTTCTCACGCTTTTCAGTTGTCCTTAGACTTCATTAGGTGACAAAGAGCTGAAGGATTATTTTCTCTGAAACTAGTGCAATCATTTAGATGTTAATTTTGCCATGTGCAAACACAGCTTTCTTTTTTGCTGTCTTTTTTTATGGTCGTTGTGTTCCAGCCCTTCCTGCAAAGATTAAGATTAAGAATCGAAATAAAAAGACACGACATTCTAAATCGAAACCTAAAGTTTTGCTATGGTTGCTCATGAATGTTTGCAGTGAATACAGAAAAAAATCCAGACCTCAAACATTTAAAGTGGGGTTTGTCTTCTTCCAAGGACTCAAGGTGTGGTGTAGCTTTCAGAAGGTGTGGTGCTTGTGGTGAGATTTAAAGCTAACTTGTAATGGCTTAAGCAGATAATGTCTTGCTGTTCTCTGTGTTACACAAAGATGTTATAGTAAACTCTTAAAGCACTCTAAAAGACAGCTCCTGTTATCTAATGTTGATGGCATGCAGTTCGGAAGTTTTTATTCCAGCATTGGAAAGCCAATTTTCATATGAGGCGGCTTATGTCGAGTATGTTTTGTTTTGGGCAATGGGATTTAAAGGAGTTTTAAGTGCTAGACATGGTCATAAGAGAAATGGTAATGAAGTATCAACCTGGCTTTGCTGTATATCTGTTTCTCAGCTGAAACATACAAAATCAAGAATTCTGTTATAGGATCTAATATGGCATGTGTATATTGCATGTTTTGATATATGTCATGCTTAGTACCAGTGATTTAAATAAAATAGGTAATAAAAATCCTAAAAAACAGCAATGAATGTCATGACACTGTATCATATTTTGTAGTCCTTGAGTATTTGGATCCCTGCAATTTAGAATCGCTATGTATCAAGAAGAAATTTGGGTATTCCTGTTATCTGCTTTTCTTGTGGTAAAGGATACCTAAAAATGTTAAAACTGTACTTTACAAAGCAATCATTCTGCCACTTTTAAATAATTCTGATTTTATAAAGAGATCCAAATGGGTAGGGAGCCATATGTGACAAATTTCCTTGAATAAATGATTGGAGAAAAGAAAACAAATCACTTAAGTTCTTTAAAAAATCAGCTTATGGCAGTCAAAGCTCTGTTGTTTAGGTACACTATGAATGTACAGGACACTATGAAAGGAATCAAGTATACTGCATTTTGTTGTGATGCACTCTGTCCTCTTAGTTTTCAGCTTTCCCCTTTTTATATTATATATGAGTAGTCTTGTTTTTTTGGCATGCCCTGCTGTATACAGAATACAGTCTATGAAAAATGAGCCATATAATCAAGGCTGTAGGTTTTTGGAAATCTCACAAACATTTGAAGTCATAGACTCTTTGGTAAGATAATTACTAGACTGCACGTTCCTATATATATATTTGCAGTGATCAGGGTTGTTTCCTTAGCTTAACTGTTTTAGTTCTTATGTCCCCTTTTCTTAAACTATGACCAAAGAGAACTGCTTGTGCCAGACTGCCTACACATTCAGAGAGCAGCTAACCAGGGCGGTCTTACTTTCAGCTAGAAATGGGATCCTGGCAAAAGTTTAAAACACTTAGCAATTTAAGCATGCTTGGCATGTTCTTTTCATCACAAACAGACACAGGTCTTTTTGAAACTAGATGAATGAATTAGCTTCCCAAGAACTTAGACCTTTCAGCATCTAATCCCTACTCGGGAATCTATAACCATAGAAGATCTGATCAGACTCTCAGTTCATCGAGGGTCAAAACAAATCCAGTGCTATTGTAGTGGGATCCCACAACATTAGTCTCAAGGGAGGGCAAAGAAATATAAGAGAAATGTTATGAATGAAACTAAAACACATGATCCATTATAAACACTGCACACGCAAACAATATAACAACATGCATAATTCTTATACCCATTTGCGTAAATGACATCACAGGCATACAATTATTTCAAATGGTTTATGATGAGACCTAGTTTCATCTGAGATCTTAAGAGCTTCTCAGTAAATTAATAAACCTTACAACTGGTTTGGCTAAGATCTTAGAAAAGTTTAATGGTAGTAACTTTAATTCTTTAATTGTAGTTAAATACACTTTATTTTTCATAATATGTATTTTTGAAAAGCCATCTCGCATATTGGAAAATATTTTGGCCTGTTCAGATCCATATTTAGATTTAATTTCTAATGGTGATTAATTTTAATCAGATTGATGAATCTTAGCTGACTGAGAGTCCAAAAACAGTGAGTCCAAATACTGACCGCACTGTGGAAATGCACAAAGTGGGCGTGATGTCTCCCTGTGGTTTGCAACACTGTGGGTTCAGGCTGCAAGAGTGACTATTTGGGTGTTTCTGATGTTTGTTTAACAATGGTTTCTCAATGTTGAGAAGATTATTTTTTTGCAGGCACCTGAGAATGGAAAAAGCAAGAGTAAAATGAAAGTAATTAGAAGGATGTGCTTGCTGCAGTAAGGGGAACCAATTGCAAGGGTCCGTGTTGCATTTTATTGTGTTTTAAATGGCCCTAGAGACACAACATATATATATATAGCTGATTGTATTAATCAGTCTGTAAATAGATTCACGATTTGAGATAATTTCTACCAAAATAAGACATAAGTCCATCCATGCCCCTGCCTTTGTTTCTAAGTGCATTTGGATCCATCGGGTTATGTAACAGGGGTGCAGTGTGCTCTAAATCCAGTTGTTGGTCTAAACAAAATAACAGTACAATTGTCATCCTTAAGTATTTGGCGGTTTGCTGCTTTCTTTCAAGGTGTTTTGTTCCGTCTATGCAAATGTCGCTTTTTTTATGTGATAACATGCATTCTATTTAGCACCTTATATAAAAACTTGTGTAATACAAGCATACTGTAAAACGGAAACCATGTTATTGTAAGTCAGAGGCTACGCAAGGCTGGGCCTGGTCAGTACTGGAATGGGAGATCTCCAAGGAAATCTAGCTCACTGTTGCAAATGGTGATGCTGGGCCATTCTTCTCTCTGGACCAGGAATTCCAATCAGTTCCTTAGTATGGTGACCAGAGATACATGTAGTTATTAAAGACCCCATGGCACTTTTCAATAGAGTAGGGATGTTAACCTAAGAGTAGTGCCTGAAGTCCACTCTGGCCTTGCAGTCTGGTCTACCCAGAGTTCCTCCTTGGTTTTCACTTTGCTGCCTTATATGCTGTGTTTTGGTGCAGACTTTGCTGTGTGGTACTCAAGTGAAGCTGCACTTCAGAGGTGAATGAAGCACTTTAGGATCCTTTGGAATGAAAAGCACTATATAAATGTTGGGGAACTATTATTAATATCGCAAGTAGGCCGTTGGGAACAAAAGTAGATAATTGATTTAAATTTAGTGATTCGAATTTTTTATTAACCATAACCTATGGAGGAAAATGTAGAGCAACTATCTCGCTACAAATTATAATTCACTTAAAGAAACCAGAATGTTGTTGCTTTTACATTTTTAATTCAGGTTTATTTGCAGATATTAAGTTAATAAACATGCGCTAATTCCAAGTATTCAAAACCTATAGTATACGTTAGTGTGAAATGTGTCTTAAGAGAGCAGGTTTATAGTTCTGTTTACCTACTATTTGTATGTCTCTTTTCAGTTTGTGTACAGGTAGGTGTATCTTAGTGAAATGTCTGTGTAGTTTATTTTTGTGTAGTGATGTCTGCCTGGAATCTGATGGTTGGTCAATATGAAAACAAGTAGTAAAGACTGTACAGCCTGTCTGCATTTCAAAGTTCATCAACTACAGTGAAAATCTGCACTTGTGTATTTAAACCAAACTATGATATTGTCCTAGAATAAATGTATCTTGAAATAAATAAAAAAGTCAACTTTTTCACATTTGTCTTGGTTACCCTATTATAGTAAATTGAACCATTTTACAGTTGTAATCTGTAATCAAAGTTGATTTTTTTTCTGGAAGGCACAGTCTTTCTTTGATTTAAGTGATTTGTCACAAATTTACAACCCTGTTTTTAAGCCAGTCTTTCACAAGGCTGATACCCCTTATTAGCAAAAAATGGATATTAGTAGATATTACTGTTCTGGGGCTTTGCTCGGTTGATTTCAGGAGTTTTGCAGCTATGGGGATGCAAGACTCACCTGTCACTAATTGGTTAAATTCAAAGGATGTTTTTGTACTCTTGAGTGTCAGAAAGAGCATGTTTCCCAAATCAGACAGTTTAATTTTCATTTTACCTGTAAGAAGGGATGCATGTTCAGGTGGGTAGCTGCGTCAGCATGTGTAGGCTGCAAAGGAACAAGTAATAGGTTTATTCCATTCTGAAAAAAAGAAGAAAGAACACAACGTTTCAGCCATGGAGCCTTCTTCAGGTGTGAGAAGGGATACATGTCTGTTTGAATAGCTGTTTAAATCCTGCTTGGGTGAAAACTCTTGCTAGTATGTTGCACTTCTTTTAGACCCTTAACAGTTGTGTGTTTGTATATCTATGCATGACTTTACAGGATGAATATCGTATGTACTGGGTCCTGGCCATTGGCCTTCAGATGAGAGATGAGAGTCAGAACAGCCAGTCCCCCTGTTGCTGCCCAAGTCCACTTGTCTTACAGTATCCCTTACATTTCACCTGTGGGGTCTGAGCAGAGGAGACCAGACACGGCAGACCTGCTTGTTAAGCTCCTCCTTCTTCAGAGGGGGTTCTCCAACTGTGCCCATCGCTTCCAAGTTGCATTGAAGCTAGAGAATAACAAAATGAACTACATTTTTGAAGCTTGACCTATCAGTGGAAGAAGAAGCCAGACAAGCCACTTGAGATGGATTTTGTTAGGCAGGTTGTCATTAGAAAGGCTCTTGCTAGCACTGTTGTGTTTTGTCTAAGAGAAGTGAGACTCTACCCCTGAGAGCAGCACGTTACTGCTGTTGCTAATGAACAGGCTGTCCTGGTAAAGTACAAATGGAATTGCACTACATATATTTGTGTTTTCCTTTTTTGCAAGTTTTGTTGGTTGTTTAAACTTTTTTTTTTCAGTTTGACATTTAAGTGTCCAAATCCAGGTCTTATTAAAAGGCTGCAAATGGCTATCAGTATTTTCATCTGGAAGGCTTTTGTAGACCAGAGACATGATGCTGATAATGGGGTTTGACAGTACTTTAATTGCCAGTGTTGTATCTAAGGGGAACTGGTAGCTTGAGAGGCCAGAGCAGCCTGTGAAAATGACACTGTAATTACTGGAGCATAGTCGGCCCCACAAGCATTAAATGCATTGGGTTCTTTTTTTTGTGTTTGCTGCTGTGAGTCACTGCTTATTACCCACATGTTGAGGAGGAATTGAGGTCTTGGTTTTTATTTTCCTGGGCGATGGAAAACCTTTTATTAAGCTGTCAAAGTGTAGAGGAGATTTGCACAGCAGCTGTGCCTCTGCAAACCTTAGACTTTTTTATACGTGCTTGGTTTCCATGGCTGTTAGTTCAGCCTCAGCGTAAATTAAATAGATACTCACCAGCTCTCATCTGTGACTGATATAGATTGTGTTAGAGCTGTGCTCTTAAAGAAAGTGGGCTACGACCTTAATTCTTAGGTTGCTTTGAATGTCATTTTACTGGCAACTTTCTTGTGCAGTATTTCTAGTGGTTTTTCAGTTAGTTTAGAAAAAACACCAAACACATTTTGACAGCTGAACTATCTAAAATACAAATGGCCTGTTCCATTGTTCATATTTGAATTAAAACTGTTCATATCTTCAAAAAAATATATATGATTGCATTTGATATACTTTCCCAGGTATGGGTTTTATGTGGGTCATAATGTAACCTCAAAGTTTGTAGTTGCAACTAATGAACTAGGAGAAAAGCAGTGCACAGAGACTGGGGATGAATACATCAATGATTGCTGCTATAGCATAATCCAGATCCAGACCTTGGTTTCACACTTTGAGAGGCACAGTGGCTTGGTCAGGGTAAGTTACAATGAGTCAGTGGATGAAATGTGGATTCAGCTTGGACTGAATCCCAGACCACCACAGGACCACCTGCATATTCTAAGGTGCATAAGACTTGCAGCTGAAAATGGTCTTCATATTAACATTGAATTTTTGTATATTGTGCAACAATAACTGTTATTTCTTCAAACTAATATGTTTAAGGGCAATAGGACTGCAGAAAAGAGTACATGTGGGACATAAGGAAATGAATTGACTACATACGTTGTAAATCAGAGAAGCAGCTGTATCAAGCTGAGTTTTTGAATGAGTGAGGTTTATTGTTATGCCAGGCAGCATAACGTTTGTCAGTCTCTGCACCAAGGTCCTTTAGTTTCAAGATCACTGTTTAATATCAGTCAGGCTGGCAGGCACTGAGGAATTAAGCATTGATTGGTGTTTTTTTCCTATAAGAAGAGCCGGGGAAACTGTACTCAGTATAAGAATACTAACCATTAGCTTCTGAATATCATTGCAAAAAGTACCAAACGTTAAGCAAAGTGGTAGACTTTGACACAAAGTTATGGTTTCAGTGGTCTCCAGTCTTACGTCTGACTATTTAATATGTAATTTAGTGCAAATTCAATTTCTTGAAATGTCGCCTCCCACAACTAGCAGTAGCACTATGTGAAAGTAGTCTTGGACCTGGTCCTCTGTTGATTCAGTTTGTTTCAAGAGGACAGGTGGTAATAGAAATAGTCTGAACTCTTCAGAATACTGTCTGAAAATAAGGTTTCACCATTATCATCAGGCACTCAAAGTTGATCTGTCAAACAAAATTGCACCTTAGTTATTATGTTGCCTAAAGAACATTTTTTTAAAGTTTTCCACACTGTTCAATTTACCAAAGCCCCCTATTTTTATCTTTCTTGCATTCAACAGCATTTTCATGTAAATGGTGTGAAAACAAATTCATTAAAGTTCTGCTGCATCTTGCAAACTACAGATGGTTTGTTGCTAAGCAAAAACATCTATTTTCATACAGCGTCTTTTGTTTCCAGAGCATCTGTTTTGTATGGTGTGATCAGAAGAGTCCTTTTGGGCTCCTGGAAACATAATGCCTATAGAAGAGCTGGGGATATTGAATTTCTGTTTGCTACCTATATAGAAGTTCAGTCAAACATGTACAGTATGCTCTTTTTCATTCATGTTTATTTTTGCCTAATTTAGATATAGTATTACAGCAGTCCACCTTTTAAAAATATGAATTATTCAGTCACCTAGTGTTGATCTGAAAATTCTCCACCACCACTTTTTTAAATATAACTTTGACAGGCAATTTGTCTAAGTTTAGTCATTATACAGGAGGTGTAATTATAGGCATCAATATGTATCCCTCATGACCATTGGCATTAATAAGGAGTTTTATCCTGTCCAATTCCTTGACTTGCATTGCATTGAAGTTGGCTACAATTACAGCCATCACTCCAAACCTTAAGAAACGGTTAAGGTTCAAAGTATCTCACTATGCGTATATCTATATATGTGTATACATGCACCTTAGTTTGAAAAAATGTCTCTTGACAGAGAGGAAGTGTGTGAGCGAGAAAATTGATGTGCATTTCTTTGTACAGACAGTCCCTGTCATTGGTAATAATTTTATATCATCCAGCTGCTGGTGTTGTGTTGTGCAATTTCCTTTTCCAGCTGCTCAGCTGCGGGTGGTTTTCCATTTTATGCAGGTGCAAGACATCACTGAGAAGACAGGCGCTTTACTGTCTCTTTACCCTTCCTAAGTGTTCAGTCGCCGACAATCAATGAAGTGCAGAGAATTTAAGTAGTTCACAAATAAACATCAAAATATATTAAAGCACAGTGGAGAAAGGGCTACTCTGGTTTTTAAGATTTGTTTTTAACCTGTGCGCCACATCATGAGGATGAGATGTCGGAGAATTATCCCAAAATCCAACATTAAAGGTCTAAGATTATTGACTTAAACACCTCTGGTGCAAGCGATAAAATAAAAACCCCATCACAGCTGTGCCTGAGGGGCCCATCATTAGGGTGTTCTAAACTAAAGGGATGGTTGCTTCTCCCAGTCATAATTTTAATCTCGGTGTGAAAAAGTGCCTTTGTTTCTGAATTATTTGTCTTGGGGAAAAGTTCTTGAACGCAGCTCTGAGTGTTCATGTCAAATGAAGTGTGAGCTACAGGTCGTGAAGGGTGTGAATGAAAAAGCGTGCCGTGCAGGTGAGGTTAGCTCTGAAAGGAAGCGGGCTGGGCCTCCAGACCGCTCATGCTCCTCTGTGGAAAGCCGGTGGGGAAGAATGGAAAGTGGTGCCTGAACCTCGGGTCTGGTCTTGTTTTGCCTGGCAGGTTGAAGTCAAGCCATACGTCCTGGATGACCAGATGTGCGACGAGTGCCAGGGGACTCGCTGCGGCGGCAAATTTGCCCCTTTCTTCTGTGCCAACGTGACCTGTCTGCAGTATTACTGCGAGTACTGCTGGGCCAGTATCCACTCGCGGGCCGGCAGGGAGTTCCACAAGCCCCTGGTGAAGGAGGGGGGCGACCGGCCGCGCCACGTCTCCTTCCGCTGGAGCTGAAGGCCGGCCCGCACAGCCCTGCCTGGCCCGTCGACAGCAACCGCAGCAGACTGAAGCGCCGCAGAGCACCGCCGGTCCGCACACCCTGCTGACGCCGGGCTGGGAGCTTTCCGGAACCCGGCGCGTTCTTCCTCCCATTCAGAGAGAGAGAGAGAGAAAAAAAAAGGGGTCTTTTTTTTAATTTACTGTTCTGAACTCATCGTCCAGTATATTCTATAAAAAGACACACAAAAAAAGTTTAACTGTAAAGAATTTGCACTTTGGCACAAAAACTCACAACACACATGAAATATCTTGCTTGGTACCTGAAGTTTCTTTTTCTAAGTCACTTGTTCCATAGGTTTGGTATTCTGCTATTCCTGGTCAGCCAATGTACTGGCTGATGCTGAAGTGATAACCATATATATATAAATCTATATATTTTTGTTTTTTTTATCTATCAATATATAGATAATTTTATTTTGTGTGACTGGAGCATGCACTTATTTTCACAAATGGTAGGACATTGCCCCTAGTACAAATTACCAAAGGTGACAAAAGCCTAAAGTGGAAACAACCGAAGTAGGTGACCTACAATGTAGCAAAATATAACAAATTGTAATCAGTAGTCTGGGTCATTAACAAATACCCTAATTAGAATAACAAGCCTATATTTGCTCTCCATTTTGACTTGGAAAAAATAATACCTCATAAGCTCAATCTGATAATTTTCTTTAAATTATTTTTTAATTTGCTTTTTTTGTTTGGTTAGATCTCTTTTTTTTTTAGTGTTATGTAAACGTATGCTGCAATAGCTTTTGCTGCTAAATACATGGTATTCACTAATAATACCATAGGACTTTGTTCAGGCTAGGGTGAAACTTAAAAAGTAAAAAAATAATGAAGCGAAGCGCAGTTGCTGCTGGAGAGAGTAGAATAGCAGGGAGGTAAGCTCCCGTGAAGTTGGTAGATCTCTGACTGCATGTTTATTTAAATCAGGTTGCTGCATGCAATAGAATTTCTATACCATGTCTATTATACAATTTTGCCCACATTGCACAAAGTGATTATGAATATACATAGACTACGATATAAACCAATTACAATGAAAGATCAAATGTATGAAGAATTGGCTGATTACCGTAAGATAGGCATGCCTCAGTTAAATGCTTCTGCAAATAGAAAACAGTGTCCATTAAAGCATTAACAAGTAACACAAGAGTTTATCATAAATAAATTAGATGTAGGATATCCTTAAAACAATTATGTCTATGGTAGGTGAAGTACTTTTGCAGTGATCTTTAATATATAATTGTGCAATTTTTTATATAGTAGGGTGATAATGCCTAGTACTGTGATTCGCTTTAACTGTCGTTGATGTCTGACATAGAAGTTATGTGAAGCTTCATAACCAGTGTATTCACACACAGAAAAGTGAGCTCAAGTTTTGAAAAAACTTTCTGCTGCCTGCACCATTTACATAGCTTAAGATCTTGTCCTGAAAACCAAAGAGCTCATGTGATTATCTATATAATGCATATATATACACACAGACCAACAACACACTACCGTTACAACGATTAATGTATTTGTCAGGCTCTCAATGGATGAGAAAGGGCTGATTTAAGAGGCACATTGTAGGGGGTATATCAACAGAGGGAAATGAGTGCTAAAGAATTGTCTGCACAGTTGTCAAAATGGAGATGTCTGGTTAGAAAACTAAGATCCCTAAATCCTGGATGTATCCTGCAAAGCTTGAAGTATAATTGTGACCTGCTAAAGGGTTTTTTTTAGCATGAAGACTGGGAGTTAAGGGGTGCTGCTTGCAACATGACTAAATAAAGCATAGGCTGCTGAACCCGGGATAGCTGGTTCTGGGGAGGACAGGGGTCTGCCTGTTTTGGGGGTGGGATTGGGTACACTGGTTTTTAGCAGTTTTTGGGACAATCTGACAGGATACAACACCGCATAAGTAGATGTAGATGTCATGTCTTTTTGTGTATTGTGATGTCCTGTTTTTGTCCACTTACGTCTTTCTTTCTTTGTTTAGTTGCAAGTATTGGCTTAGGATGGACTTTTTTTTTTGTTTGTTTGTTCTTGGAAAAAAGGAAAAAAATACTTTTTTACTGATAAAAAATGAAACAAAAAATGGCTTATTATGATGATTAGTATCCCTATCGAGGTTAATTCTGGGCTTTTTTGTGATATTGCTTTCCCTGCCCAGATGGATTTTCTATGTTTTTTCATTATCTGTAAAAGACATTTGTTATGCACTACTTTTTGTATCTGGACAGTTTTCAACAGTCAGCTATTTTTTTTTAAGAAAAAGATGAAGCGTGCTTTCTGACTGACATGATCTTTTGCAATACCTCAATTTTGAAATATAGGAGAGAAATCGATATTTTCTAAGTAAGTTTATTCAGAAAAAAGATATATATTAATTTAATTCTGCAAGAAAATGATTTAACAGATGGTTAATTTTATTTTTTTCATGCTTATTTGCTTTTTTTTTGAAAAACTGAAGGAGCTAGAGCTTTATAACTTTAATATAATGATGTAGTTAGCTAAAGTACAGAGTCTACCTTATTACAGAGGAAAAGGGATGTGTAAAGAATTTCCCCACATCTAACTTCCATGGAATTGTGAAACGTTAAATAATTATAATTAAAGGTAGAATTCCAAGGATGATTATTCTTTTGAATTAAGAAAGATGTAGTTGTAAAAAATCTCCATTTGGTGCTGAGAGAAAGTTAATTGAAGTTGTTTCCCTTATTTTTGTATATTTATAATTAATCATTTATTACGCTGACCAGAATTGTGAAAGAAATCTTCTGTTCATGTTATTTTTTTAAAAAAAGAACTTTTTATGTTTCCTAAAAGTATGTGCTCCCTTTTGTTTTTGTAAAACAACATACCCTGATTTGTTTACTTGACGTTATTAAAGACTTTGGAGAGTCCTTAAGAAGAAGAAAAAGAATGTTATTTTATAAAATTCAAAGTGTTTAAACTGTAACTTGATTGAGAGCCCCTTGGTGCATCAGGTCATTGGTGGCCTTCTTTTCATGTAAGACTTGAATTAGTCCGATTTTTTTGAAGGCTAACAACCTCGATTCTTTGTTGTAATGTGCAATACTGTTTGTACTGTTTGTAAAAAAAAAAAATGAAAAAAGAAAAAAAGGCATAAATCTTTATTGCAGATTTATTTTCATTGCAAACATTGTGATTCACTAAGATCATTTTCTACTGTGTATTTACCTACTCTTCATGCTAGTATTTTTCAATAGTAATGTAGCCTTTGTACTGAGAAATTTTTCATTGTTATTTTTAGAGAGATTTTTTGCTAAAAAAGGATTTAAACATATTTACATATTTTTCATTTTTATTTCGTATTTTCTTTACAGACTTTTTTTTCTCAACCATTAATATAGTTGTTTCTGGGAGAGACTTTCATATCTGGTCAATGTCATTAATATTATTTTGTATTTTTACTTGGAATAAATTAATTTTATGATGCTAATTCTTTAAAAGTTTATTTTTTCGTCTTGTTCATTTATTTTTTGAAGCTGAAAACCTTTGTAATATTGTTACTAAAGTTGTCTAGTTTTTTGAAATGCAAAGCTTTATGTATTAACTTGCTGATGTGGTTTACGTTAGTGTGGCAATGATAAAATCCATCAATGGCTGGTAATGTAAAGTGATTGAAAATGTAATGAATGAATGGGCAATAAAAACAGAATGGAGCAGACAAAAGTATGTTCTTATATTGTGGGAAAAACAGACCCTGTTTATTTTAGTCACCTGATTGTTTCAGGCAGTTATGGGATGTCACAATATATACTGAGTGGTTTGGGTGATTGAAAATGAAAGGATTTCTTTACATTTCTACCCTTCCTATGGCCCCCCGAAATTTCTTACTTGTGACCAAAATGTTCGTCTGATTGGTTTATTTCTAGTTATTTTCCGTTGCAGCTTTTCTGCACCTGGAGTAAAATGGATTTGGTTTTAGTTTGCGGTAGGTCCCTGATCTGTACGTTTCATGGGTGTAATTGTGACTCTTGTTGTTTTCAAGATTTTTAAGCAGGTCAGTGCTACAGACATTCCTTTCCATAATTCAGAAAGCTCCCACCAACCTCAAATGCCTTTGCATGTTGTTAGTGAACATTATTTACCAGCTACAGGAGGGAACAGACACTGATGTGAGTCTTTAGTTTTCATCATTGTTCTGCTTTTGATTCCCAGCTTAGCATCTTCTCCCTGAATGGGCCCTGACAGGTATGACACATTATCATAAAGGAAGGCTTTTAAGTGTTTGCCATACGGTTTTTATTTACATATTGTGACATCCCTAACTTGTACGTCAAAACAAGATCATGGGTTTGGCAACACGGTTTTGTGTTTTTATGTTACATCTGGCTAGCCTTTCGTACTAATTTGTATGGTGGTCTTATACTAATATTTGTTTCTTAATACTAACCAAACTGATACTCTTCAGATACGCTTAGCTGCACCAGTGTTAGCTTAATACCACAGAGTATTTTAAGTCCTTTGGCAAAGTGATTGCTTTATACCCTAACTTCAACTATCCTGGAAACCTCTGAAGTAAATGCGTTCTGCTGGGGATGTAACCAAATATTTGGTTACAGAGACCATTTCATGTAACTATCAGATGTATATTTCATATAGTACTAGACTTGGATAGTACCTTTTCATTCACTTTTCACACATGTTGGGGTATACAGTATAATGTTGTGATCTGTCATACATTATTGAAAACTGCTGTTCATGGGTTGTTTCTTAAACTAACCACTACTTTTAAATGTACCTTTTTAACGTTTTTTTTTTATTTTTGGTTGATTGCTGGTTATCCTGATGAGGCTTTGAAATTCTTGACTTGGACCTGTGCTTGTTTGGAACTGCAGTACTGTGACTAAACATGGAGCTCAATGCTGCTATTGCTTACAACTGCTTCAAGTTTGTAGTTTGAACTTTATTTTTTTCTGTACTAATAAGCAACTCTTATTAAACGTAGTTGTATGATGCTGTGAGACTTGTCTTCTTTTGCATGGCCTGGCTGGATGAACCAAGTGAAGAAACGGGGGAGGTTCTGATTCTAAAAAGTGGAATGCACCATTGCGATGTTAACATCAAGAAGATCTCTTCTTTTACTGGATAGTGTAAAACAGAAGTGTAAAAAGTTGTACTGTCAGGACAATAGCAAAAAAAAAGCTAAAAGAAATAAAAAAACAAATGTGTTTGTGTACAGATTTGGTATGATAAAGATGTAAGTAATGATGTTACTCTTATGTTAATGGTAATAGAGATTGAATAGATGTCAAAGAGTTTTTAAGGTAACCTTTAAATATATAATAGTCAAAATCAGTCAGTCCTGAACAGCAGCTAGAGCACAAGCAATTTGCCAAGGTTAAATAACACACCCTACTCATCAGGGAATACCAAGCAAGATCACAGGGCTACTTTTAGTTTTCTCATGAATATTGTACTGGAAAAGCACACTGGCACTGGCTTACAAGATGCATGTTACAGAACAAACACATGCAAAATAGACAAAAAGTAATATTTATAGTAGAAGAGAGCCCAGCTCTTTTATAACCAGCATCCTCTATTAGATCAGTGTTGGACACAACACTGACTACCGCAGTGCACTCAGAAATTAATTTAAATTATTGGGTGAGACTGCTTTCATAAATTATATAATCTACAAAGCGTGGCTGGCAGGTTTCCAAACCCTTCACGTTTCAGTGCATCAGTAGTGAAGTTTGACTCGAAGTTTCATTTCTGCCAAATCTTTACATAATGCTTTCCTGCTCCCTGTTATCTGTCTTTTGTGTACCATTTGGTCACATAAGCTGTGGGTAATTTCTGTACATTTGTAGCCTGATAAATGGTCCAGCCTACTCGGACTATGGTCCTACTCAGAGTGGGCTGTGATCTAGCTAGAAACCAGTGTGGCTGTGCACATTCCTTAAAGCCTCCCTTTATCTAGTGGTTTTGGTCATACTCGTGTCTGGAGAATTGGAGAATCCATTGTCGAGATAGGATGCTTTGGTTCATAGGCATTCTAAGACCTCTGGCATGCATTGGTTATGTAGTATCTTAATCTTTTATTAACCCATTTTCTATTTGTTACTTACAAAATTAATTTAAAATGAATTAAAATTCAATATAGGTGACTGTGAAGCCAGTACTAAAGAAATACAATGATTGGGATATGCTGTACAACATTGGACGTGGACAGCTCTTTATTTAACACTGCCAATGGAATGGTGTCCCACTGTGGTTTGTGAGTAGCATAGTGGAAGACAGAAGACTGTTCTTTTAAAATGTTATTTCTTTATTTAACCAGAAGAGTCCGTTCAGAAAACAACGCTCATTTCCACAACAACCCAGAGAGCTACCCATTTATAGAGCAGGGCATTTAGAGGAGAATTTGAATGATCAAATTTGCTCAAGGGTAAAACAAATAGCTCTGTCCCACTGTGGGTTTGAACTCACAAACCCCGGAGCCCCTAATCCATGAGTTTTAAAAAGCCCAGAACTGGTGAAAGGTACAATGGGGCTGCAGTCAATTTGTACTAAGTAGGTGGCATGGTGGCACTGTGGTTAGCATTGGTGCCTCACAGCACTGCGGCCCTGTGTTCAGGCCCTGGGTGCTGTCTGTATGGAGTTTGTGCATTCCCCCAATGTCCATATGGGTTTTCTCTGGGTGGTCTGTTGCTCGGTTCAAAGATGTACAGATAGGTTAAGTGACTTGCAATTAACTGGCATACCATCCAGGGTGTATCTTGCCTTATGCCTGTTGCTTGCTGGAACAGGCCCCAGTTCCCCCAGAACCCTGTATTTGATCAATCTGTTAGAAAATTGGATGGATGGATGTTTGAAGTATCCTCTGCCCATCTTCCATTACAATAGGTTGCCTATTAACATTGAAATTGTTGATTTGCTGGGCATCACCATGTTGAAAAATATTACAGCACAGGTCATTATAAATTGCAGATGGTTATAAATATGCTGTCTTTTGACCTGAGAGGACAATTGAAAAAAACTTCACATCCTACCTGTTAAATTAAATTAATTTTAAAGAAACCGTCATATACTATTTTAGTTCAGGTGGGTAGCTGCGTAAGCATACGTAGGCTGCAAAGGAACAAGTAATAGGTTTATTCCATGCTGAAAAGAGAAGAAAGAAAACAATGTTTCGGCCGTGGAGCCTTGTTCTGAAGATGGCTCCATAGCTGAAACATTGTGTTTTCTTTTTTCTTTTTTCAGCATGGAATAAACCTATTACTTGTTCCTATATATATTTTAGCTATACATGGAATAGAATAAGCATTGATCCATATTTTCTAATGAAATATTTAGTTTGAGGCAGTGAAATCTCCCTAATTCAGCTGTGCAGGATGTTCACGTTGGCAAGACACTTTACCAGAAAGCAAAATTTAAACCTCTTAAATGCACCAGAATTGAACTATAGGAAACTGTGATCAATTCAATGCTTAATAATTCCAACAATTCCATCCGACCTTTGCTACAAAGATGCAGGAGGCAACACTAAACTAAAAAAAGATTGGCTCTAAGAACTAAAAGGTTGACTAAGTCTCTCTGGCAACCATCTTTTAAGGCTTCAGATAAGGAGTCTGTGTGTGGTCTCTCTGTGTGTATAGTGTATATAGACTTTAATTTTTTTAGAACATATAAGATATGTAGGTATATCAACCTTAATTCAAAACAGGTCATACTTTGAATGACTACTGTAAGACCTTTTGTTCTTTCTTGCTGGATTATAGGCGGTACTACAGTATAATGGACCACACGGTCAGAAGACAATGTGAGACCACCCTTGTTTCAGTATTAAAAACAGAAGTGTTGTCTTGTAGTATTTTAAGGGAACTACCACATGGTCTTGGAAAACTCTTTGAACTTTTCTATTGGATCATTTAATGCATTGCTCATGGCAATTTTCTTTCACAAAGGAGGACAAACTCAAATGGCAACTTCTAAGAGCTCCATATTCTGGGGTCAGTTCTGTGAAGACTGGGGAAGCAGTAGCGTCTGGGTTACTCTTCAGAAAAACGGGAAAAGCAGTAAGCTGGCCTTCTAATTCAAAGCAATTCACACAAGTGAAGAGAACATCTTGAAAAGCAATCATTTCACATTTCACAAGGGGAAGTCAGTTCTCATATGCATATCATACAACACCTTCAACTTCATGTTGTCATAATCAAGATGGGGGATACCAAGCAAGATTTATATTTAAAACAGCACTGGAAATAAAGGGAAGCTCTTGAGCCCTAGTTTTAAGCAATGTGGAGCTGTTTAGATTATTCATGGCTTTTTATTACCATACAGTACGTGTGCCTGGGATGCAGTATTTAAACTGGTCCTATACCAGCACATATCAATTCTCCCCCAGAGATACAGCCAATGACTGCTGTATTAGAGAGTATTGGATATGGTCAAGTATGGTCAAATGTTACACATTTTGCTGCATGCAACAGACAACACGCACAAAATTGATTAAGAAACTTCATATTGTCTTGCTGAAAACAGTATGTTTTATTCTGACACAACTGTGGCTATATGATCAGCCTTCTCCACACAGGGCTTCAGGCATCTATTGTAACTGCAAAATAAATGGCAGCTTTCTGATACAGCAAGACTCTAACCATAATTATATACTGGAGCTCGAGGAACTGCACTGTTACAGGTACAATAACACAAAAGTAAAACTCTTACATCACCTTTTCAAATATAGTTCAGAGCAAGAATGTGAAAAGAGCCCAAATATTTAACCAGAGGTTTTCAAAAAGTCCTCTTTAATATTTTAGGATTTATTGAAATTCCAGGTATCATGTACTCATTGTAATAATGTGGCATAATAACATTATTATTATGCTACTAATAATACAACATAATAATAACTACAATTTGTAATTATAAATTAACTTTCCAAACCCAAGGATGTTGTACAGTGATAAAGAAAGAAACAAAACAATATAATGCAATAAAATAAAACATTATTTATTACATATTATATAAAATATGCCATCAGAGACATGCCCTAGTAAAAAGGTAAGTGTTACGATTTGAAGAGAGTCGAAGAATTTGTCTCTCATAGAGTCTGAGGAAGGGCATTCCACAAGAATGGAGCAGCGACAGAACAGGCATGGTCACCAAAAGTCCAAGATTTTGTCCTGGGTGCAGTGAGGACCAGCCTCAACTGAACAGAGCCCACAGGAGGGGGTGTAAACATGAAGCAATTCAGATGTATGATGGAGCCAGATAATTTAAAGTATCAAAAGTCAGTAACAGGTTTTATGTTGAATATTTGACTTTATAAGCAACCAGTGCAGTGATGTGTTTGTAGGACTGATATGTTGCCAAGGTCTGGTGTTAGAAGTCTAGTTGCAGAGTTTTGGACGTAATAGGTTTATTCCATGCTGAAAAAAAAGAAGAAAGAAAACGTTTCACCCGTGGCGCCTTCTTCAGATGTCCATTGTTTTGGACATTGCAACTTAGCATTGGACATTAAAAGAAATTGCCTGATTCAGGCAATACCTCTAATGTGAAACAAAGATGTCTTAATCATATTTCTGACATGGGGTTCAACAGACAGGAGAGGATCAAGTGTGACTCCCAGATTCCTGACTACAGCTGACTCATGGATGGGGAAGCCATTAACCAATATTGTGAACCTCTCCAGCTTTGCCAGCTGACATTTACTTCTCACCAGTAACTTTTCTGTTTTGTCACTATTTAGCTTCAGGGAATTAAATGTGAACCAGAGCTTGATGTCACACAGACAAGAGATAAGTGACAGTGCCAGAAGGGGAAGAAGGTTTAACATAAATTTGAGTATTATCTGTATAACAATAAAACTGAAGACCATGTTTTCATGTAAATCTGACTGAGTGGAAATATACAGATAATAAAAAGCAATGGGCCCAAGACTGAACCCTGAGGCATACCTGGCTGACTGGGGCCATGGGGGATTTATGAGGACCAAGGGAAACAAAATGCTGCCTGCCGGTCAGATAAGAGCAGAACCAAAGACAGTACCATTGATGGACAAGAATGTTTGCGAACAATTGAGTAACAGTGAATGATAATTACTGTATCAAAAGCCACACTAAAATCAAGAACACCACGAATATTTATAGCCTCTGGCAAGCAAGATTTCAGCACAGAGATAGGGACAGGATCTAGGCAGCAAGAACTTGTTTTACAGCTGTTAATAATAAATAATGTATTAATAATAAGCTAAATTCAGAAGTTTACCAGCTAAATCCTGGTACATAGGGAAAGTCAATGGAAAATTGAGGTCTTGAATAGTTTCTGAATCAGGAACAAGGCTAATGCTTGTTGATTTATAGCATCAATCTTGGACTGAAAGAACTGTAAAAAATTTAGACAGAGGTCAGGAATGGAAGCAAGAGCACTACATGATTTAATGATCTTGTTAATAACAGGGAAGAGCACTTTATGATTTTCTAGTCCAGAACTGAATGTATCTGAGATATAGGAGGATCTGGCTTGAGCTGGAGCAGGTCAATAGACTGACTTGTTCGTTATATGGCTGAATGTGAACCACTAGGCCGGATTTTAACTTATGCACACCAGGCACCTTCCAGTTAGACTGAAAACATTGAATTTGAGGGGTATACTGTACCTTGGAGGGATGCACTTGAAGGAAACTAAGCAAGTTTTAAGGGGGATGTGTTTACCCAAAGTACTATTCACCACAGTGTTAAAAGTGGTGAAATTACTGACTAGGTTAGTTGTCAAAGATGATCAGTCTTTTAGAAGGGGAGAACCAAGGATAGCATTCGAGAATTCAGAGTGGTTCACTCATTTCAGATTTCTAAAATTGTGCTTTACATCTCACTGGAGAAAGAGGGATACAGACATCACATAACCTGATAATCAGAAATTCATAGGTCAATGTCATGAATATCCCTAAATCTTGAGACATTTTGATCAGAAGTTTACCAGTTGAGTGACATCAAAGCAGTCCGAAGTGGCTAAAAAAATTAGAAGCAAATTTACAGCCCAAGATTATGATGATTTATGGTATGATACTGTTTTGCATTACATGACTATAAAAATCACTAAGCATTTATACTGGACAGATATAGTACTAAGTGTTCTCAACAGTTCAGGTAATTTAGATGAAAATAGTCCAGGACTTGGGAGGCCAAAAAACATGTAAAAATCTGTCAGTTCACCCTAATTGTTTAAACTAGCAGCAAACATTTGAAACAGTTGTTGGGCCCAAGACATTTTTTTAAAAGATCATCCCTTGCAGCCTACAGCAGTGCAGCAGAATCAGCTCAAAGCTTTGTGAAAAGCGGATTTCAAAACCAATACACTGTTATAAGTGATTTATTTTCAACTGCCTGCTGGAGACACCTGTAGCAGTAAGTAGTACCTTCTCCAGCTTTCCAAATATTTCACCTCAAAGGAAACTTAGCTGGCTAACAGATGTTTGGGCACAGTGATTAGATTCAGTATTAAGTGAAGAATGATTAAAACCTAGAACTAATTAGAGATTGACAACTGACTGAACTCATTCAGATTCATAAAGTTTAGAACATGTGGCCACGGTCTTCTGTAAGACCTCACTCTGGCCTATGGTCTTCCTTAAAAAGCTCTGCGGTGTTAATATCTTAATGCATGCATTCTATCCAAATAGATTACATAGCATTAATGCCATAAGGCATTTATTTTTAATGAGGCATCTTAATCGATTTTTTTGGATTTTTACAGCATCATTATTTTTTGTAAGGGCTCCCAGAAGGCACTATGAACTTCAAACATATGTCAAATGGATGCTAGTTTTTTAGAGAAATAAAATTTACGTGTATTGCAACAGGCCAGCAAGTTTTTTTCTCTAGTCAACGCTAGGGCTATCGTTTCATTTCAGCAGCCTCTGAAAAGCAAATATTTTAAATGAAAGCCAAGATAAGGGACAACAAACAAAATAACACTAGGTTATAATGCAAGAGAATCCTGTCTGAATCAGACACAGAAAAGAACATTAATGATGTAGGGAAGCAATTGAAAAGGCAAACAATATGCTAGACTATATAGTGATAAGCATAGAATTTAAATCAATGAATGTTATGTTAAAACTGTCTAATACACTAGTAAGGTCTTATTTAGAATAGTGTATACAATTGTGGTCAACATGTTACAGGAAATATATTTGTTCTCTAGAATCAGTGCAGACAAGAGCAATGAGATACATTCTGGGGCTTGAGGGAATGTTCTACATTGATAGCTGAAGGAACCGAACATTTTAGACTTGAGCTGACAAGACTTCCAAGGCAAATGACAAGGTCAACCCAATGGGTCTATTCAGACTAACTGTGAAACACGAACCAGGGGACACAAGTGGACATGTCTGGATGAGATCCTTGGATCAGTTCACTTCTATGAAACAGGCTTGATGGGCCAAATGGGCTCTTCTCATTTGTACCCTTTATGTTCCTATGAAACGGAGTCCTAATAACATCGGGACAAACTGAATTTAAAAAGTTAAAAAAACTGACAAAGTAAAACAGCAAAGAAAAGGTGATAAAATCATTATTAGATGATTCACTACCTACTGAGCATTGGAGAAAATACCACTTGGTTTAGTACTTTTACTTTAGCAGGCTTCTTAAACCTTCACTTTAGATGCCCAATTGCCGTCTTCACCACAGCATGTCAGAGAGAAAACAAAAGACCAAAATCTGAGGCTCCAAAGCCTTTGAAAACAAATGCCAATTAAAGGTCATGGTGAAGTAAAAAAACAAAATCTCTTGGTTGCTTTTAAAACATGTGGAGACCAAATAATTTTAAAGAAACATGCCAGCTTTGGATCAACCACCAATGAGGGGACAGAATAATCTACTGTCCCTGGCACTCACAGTGAAGAAAGTAGTGTTTCTGGTGCAATTGTCCTAACCTAGAAACACCAGACACTTTTTCAAAACGAACAATCTGTTCAGCTACATGCACATCATGAAAGGACATTGTGTGTGAAATTAATACAAGATGTACCAAATTGTGCTCAGCATTTTTAATAAATACTTCTTTTAATGTGAGAGATATCAAAATCGGACTGAGAAGAAAATGAGTTTATATGCTTGCCTAAAAAATGAATTTGCAATTGCAAAGAATGGCCTACAGTTATCTTGCCAGCTATGCAAGACTATCATAAGTGTACAACATTTAGAAGTTTTGCAAAAAAGTGTAAGAAGTTTATATTGTAGGGAACTTGGTTCAAGTAATATAGGCCTAGGGGGGTTATTAGATGATAAAGCTGACGTGGTAAATTATACAACCCAGAACCAAAAGAAAATGGCCTTACCCATGCTTCAGTGGGCACCATTTCTCAAGTCTTCTTTTAATACATTGTGCAAAATTCAAAATGGAAAATTAGAAGTGATAGCTCCTTAATATCTCTGGGAAGCTGGCCAGACAATTAACACCCTCAAATGGATTT